AAAAAGGGGGATGTGCGCCCTTCTGTTAGGGGGGTTTGAAGGGGGCGGAGTCCCCCTCATCGCCAAGAAAATTTTGGACTTGTGAGAGGCTAAAAATGACCCCAGGTCGATCATAATGTAACGTGTAACCAACGCTGTAAAGCCTTTGACTCTATCTCAATTCCTTGAGAAGTTGCAGCACTTTGAAATAAATTTTGATGGAAAAAATCGAGGCAAATAAGTGATTTTTGGCAATTTTGATATGTCCCCTCGTTGCCATGGTAACAAGAAATTTAAGACTGAGCATGTCGTTACAAAGGCAATGGTCCAGTCAACATTTGTGCCAAGTTTGATTAGTATTGAAGCATTTTTCATAGTTTCATAGCAGTTTGAACTTGTAACAGGAGGCTTTTCAGTGAAAACGGCCATTTTTCACAATATGCTCATGGGGGAAAGGGTTAAACATTGCTTAAGAATAATGTGTGTTAGATTATCTTTAATTTATAAATACCATTTCGTCTTTAAATTAACATGTTACTTATAGATGAACAGAATCAAAAATGAAATATGTTGAACTTGATATTTACATTGGTTATAGGCATAGTCGTATTGATATTGTTTAAGATTGGATATATTTGTTACAAATATCTGAGATTTTGTCGTCTGCTACGAAAGTTGCCCGTCACCACCGTTCCGGGTCACTGGTTGATTGGAAATGTATGTGAAGATCAAGTAAGTCTATCAAAATCTTTACTAAATAAACATTTTTTGCACGCATGATGCTACATTAACTGCGCGTAGACAGGTCAGTAGCACACTCCCACACACACACCATTGTAGATGTTAATCACATACCGGTGCCGCTTTTGCGACTCTGTAATAATAATAATAATAATAACATCATACATGTATATATGCGTGAGAAAATGAAATTAAAATACAAATATACATTAAGCATATTTAAAATCCGTTGAATTTGTCATTTCAATATTATATGGCTCTAATATTGTTGAAAATTAAAATATTGTTTTGGATTCAACGTATTAAAATTTCTTTCTTTTTTGTTGTTGTTGTTGTTGTTTTTTCAAAACTAAATGATTGTTTTTTAATAATGTATTCGATATGTACGTGGATATGCTTGCGCTCAAATAGCGCAGCGGAGTTTTTTGAGCGTTGCGCTTAACCTTATTTAACCTTCGCTAATTTCCACATTGCAAAATCAAACTCACATGACTCTTGACAAGAGATGAGCTGTTAGAAATTTCAGGAAGTGACCAAACAGCTTTCAAAACAGGTGTCATTAAAGGCTCGAGGATCCATGGACGGTTACAGGTTCTTTGAGCCTTGGCTAGGTAAGCCTATTCCACTATTTACATATATGATCATTTGGGTGAAATCAAATATTTCTGTCTACAAAAAAGTAAAATAGGTTGTCAGAAAACAGTGGATAAATATATAGCCTCAATTGAAAGAATCTTTGAGTACGAAGAATATTCAACTGTTATGGTAAGTAAGATGGTGAAACATATTATGTGCTGAAAAATCGGGGTTCTCTATGGCCGAGTGGTGAATGATTCTGAGTTCGAAAAACTTACCCTCACCCTTATTGGCTCGAAAGTTGCTCAGGATTTTGGCTATTTCCATGTGGAGATATCCATGGAGCTAGCTTACGCATTGATTTTAATACTACTACTACTACTACTACTGCTGCTGCTGCTGCTGCTGCTGCTGCTGCTGCTGCTACTGCTGCTACTGCTACTGCTACTGCTACTACTACTACTTCTACTACTACTACTACTACTACTACTACTACTACTACTACTACTAATACTAATACTAATACTAATAATAATAATAATGATGATGATAATAACAGATCTGGAATGAGACAATATAAGTTAAGCAATCCTACTTCATTCTATTACAATACTTACAGTAGTAACATGTTTGTTATATTCAGGAGAGGGTTTACTTATCAGTGGAGACAAGAAATGGGAACGCAACCGAAGCTTCTGATGCCAGAGTTTCATTCCAACATTCTGAACGGCTACGTTAACGTGATGAACAACGTTGCAGATATTCTAATGGTAAGATAAATTAACATGTTTGCATATGGTAAATCAGTGGGACGTCTTTTAAAAAAATGTTAACAAGGTGCGTTTACAGCGTCTGTCATTTAAACATAATTATTAAAAGGTGAGCACTTTACTTTTGATAATGATACAATAATTTGAAGTCATTGAAAGTGCAAATTTTACAATTTCAAGTGTAAAATTTATCATTAAAAGTGTAAATTTTACAAAGTGTAAATATTACAGATCTAAGTGTGGAACTGAAACACATGGCACTAACACATTTACGTTCATCACTTTTGGTATTTCTACATTGAAATCCCTTTAATTTTGAATGGACTGTTCCGAATTCAAAGTGGGAAAATGCATTACATAAAAAGGGGCTTATATTCTGTTGTTTTATAAAATGTACAGAACGAATGATAAAGAATCAATTCCGATTGTTTTCTCAGAAAACGTTCATAGGTGCTGCGAAGAAAGGCGAAGCTGTTGACGTTTTTCCGCACGTGTGCCGGGCCTCTCTTGATACCATGCTTCGTTGTTCTTTATCGTACGAGGAGGACCTGCAGAGTACCACGTATGTTGTTTATCCAAAAACTAATTGAAAATATATCAAAGTGACACGTATAATTATAATGCCAAACACAAAAAATAATACTAAGACTTATATCGCAAAGCTTTTAAACATGATATTATAGCTTTAGTGAACTTATTTTGCAAAATATTTGTCAGTGGCTTAGCTTCCTTTATGCCTACACTTTTTCCACACAAAATGTGACAAAAATGTCTTTATGTAACTAAGAAATTCCCTGAGCATTAACCAAAACGCACCGCTTACAATCCAGAGCAAAAGCACTTGGATACGCAAGCGTCCAAACTCCTAAAGGAGCCGGCCTATACGCAGACTAAGCTATATCCTTTTTAGTACTGCTATTACGGCAGTCTGTTTTTTAATCTTGAGGTAGTGAACGCACTTACCTTAGATCCAGTTTATTATATCTAATGTGTACAGTTTCATTTGTTATTCAAATAAATAAATTATTTTGGTGTGATTGGTTCTGCATTTTAAAATGAACACTAGCAATACTTTATAATAAATTAACATGAACGCCAGCATTAGAAAACGACTCTTAACGTCATTAATTTTAACATATGACGTCAAAAGACGTTAACGTTTCCTTTGACGTTAAATAAACAGTGAATTACAGTGTTTTGAAATGTTAAAGATAAATATGAATTAGTAACAATAGGCAAATTTTAGAAAAATTTATTTATTTCAAGAGCAATAGAAATTGAAATTTTTGAGAATCAAATAAGTCAATATAGAAAAGTAGTAAATGGCGTTATAGGTTGCTTTCTAATGCATGTGATATTATTTTATTTCCTTCTTATTTCCAGTGTTTCCGAATACTTAAACATTGTCAAAAGACTATCACAAATAAACTGGGAACGGTCACTGTAAGTAAAAGCTACTATTACATTTGTTGTATATTACAATTGATAAAGATTAATAAAGATTTACATTGAAAAAATAATTAACCAGTTTAAAAAAAACTAAAGAAGTAACAAAGAAAAAGAAGGAAAGGAATGCATACATGTTCAAATAAAACATGCTTTAACTGGTATGAATGCCGTCAGATTGTTGCCAGATTATTGTCAGATTGTTGTCATAAATAATGAAATGGAAATTTGTTTTGTAGAAATCTGTCATTGCTGTCGCGTACGATGTTTAACCTTTCCTCACCCGGAAGAGAATTTTACAAACTTTGCGACCAGGCTCATAAGTTTACAGGAGACATCTTTGAGTCGAGAAGAAAAGAACTGGTTAACATTTTTAAACATTTTTTGAAATATATTTGGCAGAGAAAGAACTAAATGTAAGCGCGACAGTGGAGATGTAGTGTATGAAACTTTATGCTTTGATTTAAACTGGGGCTTCAATGTCTTCAAGAAAGCACATTATCGAGTTGGCTTTGACAATCATTGTGTGTCCTTTGTGATCATTGATTTCAATACCTTTAATCCTTATCCTTTGTAATCATTGATTTTAATACTTTAAATCGATATTAACCGATTACTGCCTGAGCTGGTTCTTGGGGGGGGGGTTGAGATGTTGCACCCCTCATTTTCTCTCATGATCAACACAATCAAACCAATACTTCATTTTCACCTTTTACTGGGGATACACTCATATTGTCTCGTTGTATTATTACGAGTTGTCTTAATTCACAAGATTGTCTCAAAAACGTTTCATTTTGGTTGCCTTGGAAACCATACCCTCTATATCTTCTTCTTCTTCTTCTTCAGGTTCACCGCTACAATCTCAGGCCGGTCACATCGATGAAGGCTGCAGTCTTCTGCAGTTCCTCCTTTGCGCCGTGTAGTTTCGTTTGTATCCCGGTCTCCACTGGCCACACCGCTCTTCTCTGTTGTTCCAGGAGAGGACATCGTTGTAGGAGATGTTCAGCTGTTTGGTTGTCACGGCCACAGGAGCACTTGGGAGAGGCAGCTAGTTTTATTTTGTACATATGTGCGTTCAGCCTGTTATGACCTGTGCGGAGCCTAAAGATAATTACTTGCTCCTTCCTGTCCAGGTAGTGGTAGTCATCCTTGTTACTGGCACCTCATTGCTGCTTTGATTGTTGTTGTCTTCTCCTTGTAGCTGATGTTGTTCATGGGCTGATCACCTTCAGCTCCTAGCTTTGCCAGTTCATCAGCCTTTTCATTTCCAGGGATGCCGCAATGTGCGGGGATCCACTGGAGTGCTATTTGTCTGGTTTGTGACATGCGAGATAGCACCTCTGATAGTTCAGGCAGCTGATGGTGTTCTAGGCCCTGTAGTACCGACAGAGCATCCGTTAATATGACGATCTGCGGGATGTAGATGCCAGCTCCCCCATCTTTTATAGCTGATGTAGCTGAGCCATCTGTATAGATATGAGTCCAAGACTCTTGGGGGTACTCATCAGCTATCATTGCGAGTGTGAGTGCTTTTTTGGTGACATCATCTTTTGTACTTGGATGGAGTAGTGGCACAGTCGTATTAATATGTGTGTTGGACAGTTCTTTACTCCATGGGGTTGGCAGGTCAGATTTATCAAGTGGTATAATAGAAGGTCCAAGTTTTTCAGCATAAGTTCTATTCAGTTTCTTGACCTCGTGTACAAAGCTATCTCTGCGCAGACGATTCTTTGTCAGTCCTTGTAACTTTTGGTTCATTGGGTGGTCTGGCAGGAACTCATATTTGCTGGCTTGTACAAGTGCTTTGGCATCTCTTCTATGACTTAGTGGTGGAATGGTGGTAAGGTTTTCCATAGCCTTGATTTGAGTGGATTTCATTGCTCCTGTTTTAACACGTAAGGCTTGGTTTTGGACCCTGTCGAGCACTTTCTGGTTTGTCTTTGACGTAGTTATCCAAGCTGAGGATCCATATTCTAGATGGGGCCTAATTGTGCCTTGGTATACTGTCTTTAGTATCTCCTCAATTGCTCCCCAGTTGGTGCCTGCCAGTTTCCGGAGTATAGCTAGCTTTTCCAGGGCCTTGGTTTCAGCATGTGCTACATGGGGCTTCCATGTCAGCCGTTTGTCAAAAGTCACACCGAGGTAGGTAGCCTCTTCCACTTCAATAAGAGTTGTGCCACTGACTTTGATGGTTCCATCTTTCTGTTTTGGTGACAGTGTGAACAGTGTGTTACATGATTTATCTGTATTCACCTTTACACACCACTCATCTGCCCATTGTGATAGCTGGTCGGCAGCTTGTTGCATCCTGTAGGTGGCAGTGGTGGCATGTTCTTCTGAACACCATAGGACAAGGTCATCCGCAATGAGTGCTGCTTTAATACCTCTTGGTAGATCGGACACAAGATCATTTATGAAGATGAGAAAGAGAGTGGGCGACAGGACACCACCTTGAGGAACACCATGTCTCTGTAGGAACTTTCGGCTGGTGGCCCCGTCGGTACTGACTCGTGCTCTTCTATTAAACAGAAATGACTTGACCCACTTGTACATTGTGCCTCCAATGCCATTCCTCTGTAGCTTGACCAGCAGACCGTCTGTCCATACCTTGCCAAATGCTCTCTGGAGGTCGATCCATGTGACTAGGGTGACCTTCTTTTCTTGAAAAGCATCCCCAATTTCTTGGGCAAGGTATGTTGTTTGGTCTTCAGTTGACCTGAACTGCCTGAAGCCAGCCTGTTGGTTAGCCAGAAGTTGGTTGTATTCCAGATACCACTTAAGACGCTGGTTTACAATCCTCTCCATTGTCTTACATACAACACTAGTGAGACTGATGGGGCGATAGCTTGATGCCTTATTTCGATCCTTGCCCACATTATGAATGGGGATCATGGTCACCTCTCTCCATATTTGTGGGAGTTGTCCTTCTCTCCAGGTGAGATTGTAAATTTCCAGGAGTTTGCCCGTTGCAAGACAGCCCAAGTGTATGAGCATCTCATTTGTGATGCCATCTGGACCTGGTGACTTCTTAGTTTTGAGCTGACGTAGAGCAGCATGAAGTTCACTAAGGGTGAGGGCCTTCTCCATGACTTCCTCCTTGGCTTTTCATGTTGTCCTCTCTCCTTCCTCTCTTCTGACCTCTCTCAATCTTTCCCTGCTGATGTGGATGTTGCTTACTTCCTCATACTTGTCATCGAAATTGTTTGCTGCTTGTTTGCCTGTCAGCAGGGAATCACCCTCTATCAACGTAGTTGTGCCTCTTTCACTACCTGCTTCATCATTCATCTGCTTGGTGAGCTTCCACAACTAAGTGCCGTCCTTTTCTAGGTTTAGAGAAGCTGTTTTCTCTCTCCAGGATGTTCGCCTGGCCTGAATCTTTGCTTTGAGGAACTTGGCCTTAGCTTGTTGCAGATTGCTGTTGTTTTCAAGGGATGGATTAGATTCTGCCTCCCTCCTAGTTTCTGATTGTTCTGGAGTCCTTCCAAGTCCTCATTCCAGTATGGCTTATAATTCTTCCTGGCACCCCGTGGTATGCACTTATGGGCAGCTTTAAGAGTGGCAGTCCTTAATGACTCTATTGACGTCTCTATTGACGTCTCTGCCATCTACTCTAATGTCTCTGCAGAGATCATCAGAGAGTTGCCTGTATAATCTCCAGTCTGCCTTCTTGTAGTTCCATCGAGGGAAATTGGACTCTGTTCTGACCTTGCACTGTATGGTGAGATATACTGGGCGGTGGTCGCTTCCGCCTTATTGTTCACCTACTTCCCTGGTGACATTGATGTGAATGTCTTCTGTACAGAAGGCCAGAAGGCCAGATCAGGTGTGGATGTGGAATGCAAACGTCTGGAGTAGAATGTTGGATGGTCATCAGGGTCATTTATCAGGATCAGGTTATGCTCATCCTGCCAGGTCTCAACCTCCTCTCTGCGCCTGTCCATATGGTCATATCCCCAGCTCTGGGAATGGCTGTTGAAGTCACCAACAACAAGGTAATTGGTGTCATCTGGATCAATAGTGTCCAAGGATAGAGCTCTGTCATTTGGTAGAGGTTTTCAACATGTATCACCCTATCGCTCAGTCTAAGGCACAAAATTCCAAGGTTGATATCACCGGGGGTGGCAATGGGGATGAGCTCCCATTACCTTCAAAAAGCTCCCAATGGTTTAGCGTAAAACATAGCCTCTGTCAACCAAGTCCAGCTCCTGGCCTGCACACGTGGCTAGTCTCTAGTCCGGCGGAACTGCTACCACTGACAGGAGAAGGGGCGAAGGCGGTCCTGTGGCGCTATAACCGCTTGCTTCGGGCAGAATGGGCTCGTCAGTCAACCACTCTAATGAAAAGGAAAACTCTGATTCCAAACCTCCGCTGCCTTGCGGCTATAACTATTCATGGGAAGGGCTAAGGGTTGGGGTAACCCCTACTGAACACCCAGAGAGCTGAAGTCAGATATACCGGGCCTATATGGCGCTTTCTAACGAACCACGGTATTATGCACTTTACACCTTTATCTACAATGTCTACTCTCTATATAACCTCAGAGAACATGCAAGAAACAATACCTTTGAAATATCAGGGAATTAGAAAAGCTATGCGCATTGATTGAAAACCATACCGTCGTCTGTAAACTCTTCAGATGGTCGAGTTGATTGGAATATCCTACACTCGATTTTTGTTTTATTTAAATTTAATTGCAGATATTAATCAAATACCTATTATGGAAGACTGTGTATATATGAACAATATTCATTCAGGAGTGTTTTACGTTTAAGATGAAATGTTTATTCTATAGTTTTATTCCTCAAACTTATGTACATGTATTGATTCATGTCTTTCTATACATGATTATACAATATTGTCAACAGATTTTGAGAAATGTCTTGAATATATTTTATTTCTTGCTATATGATATATTATTAAAAGAGTTACCTAGCAACAATGTATTCAGTGAATATTATTTCATTTAAAGGATAAGCAGCAGAATGTCATGACCGAGAAGCGCTGTCTGGATTTCTTAGATATATTATTAACTGCACGAGACGAACATGGGCTCGGCTTGTCTGCACAAGAAATACAGGATGAAGTCGATACGTTTACATTTGAGGGTATGAAAATACATGTATACATGTATATATACATAAATGTATTAAAACGTGATAAATTTTCATTGTACAGTGTTAAAATTAAAAATAATATTTAAGAAATAATAACAAACTCCATAATTTCAATTACATTTATATCGGTAATACTTTCAATCCTTGCTGCGCACATCATCCGCCGAATATTCTATATAACAATATTTAATACGTATGAATGGTTTATTATGATGATAAATATGTCAAGGTCATACGTTTAAATATTGAATCGCTTATGAATTCAATATTGAGGTAAATTTGCGTTTTATAATATAACAAAATTAAATATTCTGGTGATTCAGGAATATTTAGCACGCTTGATTTTCAAACCTTTATATTCACAATATTAAATTTAAGTGTTTGTCATCCTGTTAAAGATACACTGATCAGTTGTAAACATAGCCGCAGCCCCCATCCCCGGGATAAGTTGAAACTCGTTAATGGGGTTTTTGTTGGTGTGAAGTTGCTTTGGTTTTTTTTTAATTTGCCATAAAAAGCAATTTAGTGTATTCATATTCCTTATGGATATATAGATATATGTTAGTGTACACGATAGAGCTTCATGTATTAGTATAATTATATGTACATCTTATGGCATGTATATACACGGGACACAATAATAATGTTTGTAGTACATATAAAACTTTCCACTCGCATGTCATAAATAAACAACAACAAAAGTATAAATTATATAAAAGTATAAAAATGTAGAAAAACATTTGACTCTATGGGTCTCTTTTGGGGAAAATGGTATTATATGAATATGTTCAAGCCGGAAATGCCGCCGCCATTTTTCTTAACGGCTCGAACATCCTATTTGTTTTACGCATGCGCTCAAAGAGGGGGCAAAACGCTATTTAAAAAAAATATGTTTGTTAACAATCTAGGTCATGATACAACATCGTCAGCCATAAGCTGGACAATCTTTGCTCTTGCTAAACATCCATTGCTACAAGAGAAGGTTTTCGGTGAAGTCAGAAATATCATTGGAGGGAAGGACAGCTTATCATCGTACGTTCTCCGGCACCTTTATCATTTTTAGCCCGACTATTATATTTATTTAATAGGGAGCGCTATCCTACTCACTCGGGCATCGTCGCCTGCGTCACACTTTGGGTTAAGTTTTTTTTGTACCGCCCCACTTATTTCCTTTAACCTTTTCGATATTGTTTGGAACTTAAAGTACATTTGTAAGTGAACATCCTCCCCACTTCCAGACAAGAGGACATATATTTTTTATGAATTCAGTGTAATATATTTGTTCTTTAAATGCAAT